CCTGCTGTGACATCTTGGCATTTTACTGGGTTAAGTAGCATACGAGACCGTGACATCCTTCACTGTCTAAAATACTTGGTTACTTATTTTTTCAAATGCATTCCAGAAGAGGTGTTTAACTTTGTTACAGCTTGGACATCAAACCACTTGGAAGATGCTTCATACCAGTGATGTGCTGGATGGAAGGTAGCTTTTCCAATCATTTCTAAGGGCACCTATACATGTGATGGACTTCTGCTCCAATGTGTGCTAATTAGCATGCTCCAGCAGCCTCTGCATCACATGTATTCAGCATCCCTATGCTTCAACGTAGCAGTGGGGCACTTTAACTAAATCTCAACGAACGAGCTTTAGGTAAAACACCCCTGCTGCCATTTTGAAGTGCGGGACTCTGAATACACTCTTGGAGCCACTCTAATTAAAGCGCCCCTCCCCTGCACCCTCCATCCAGTAGCACGTGTATAGATGCCCTTAAATTCTTACTTCAAATGAATGGGGAGATGGCACTGGGTTTACAATATTCTGGGTGTCACAATTTCTTCATCTATTGGAAATGACTGATACCTGAGTGTCACACAAGCATTAATTCTAAAGAACAAATATTTACCTTTGGACTGCAATAAATATCAGGTATTTTAAAACTTTAATAGGAGGAGATGAACTTGCTCCTTTTGGACGTTCTTACATCCACTTTTATTATGACAATTTAACATTACATAATATTAGAAATACATTGCACACCTTTTTACCAAGTGTATATGCTGCATATGATTTTTCAAAATTGTGATCTTTGCCCCTTCATTTATGGGAATTCTTTTTAACAGCAAGCAAGGAAATGGGTATTTCAGTTTTTCAAACTTCTCTGCAAGTTTTGCATGCACATTTACAATAGTTCTATCACATGCCAAGGGGAGACATTTTGTAGAAGTACCTTGATATATACTAAAACATCACTGCTCTACTACACAGACAGGGTATAATCCTAGATAATCAATTTTGGGACTTGATATAGATCCTGCTAGATTTTTTTAATGAAAATGTTTAGTCTTTCTGACTTCTGTATCTTAACTAGTAAATTGTTCTATAATGTTTAAATATTGAAAATTACCATGTTTTCTTATAACAAATGGTAGATAGCAGATTTTTTACTTTAAATTCCTATATGTGCTTTGTTCTCAGTATATATCTTGCAATTCTTTACCTATTAAACTTGTAACCATTTTTATATTATATTTTAGAGTTATTTGCAGAAGGTTATTGTAAAAGCTGGTTGTGCAAGCCAGTTCTATTGTCTTTAACTTTGCAATCTTGGAAAAAGGTATTTACAAAAAAACCCAAGAAACAAACCCTGTTCATAGAAAGAAAGTTATTTTAAAATTTATTTGCATGCAATGTAACGTGAATAAAAACAGGGATTTTACAATCTGCTTTGGTCAGCCCTATCATTCATTACCTTGAAAAACGCCTAACATATTCCCTTCTTTGGCAAGGCTCTCTGTCACCCATGGTTTAATGTTCTTTTCAGAATGCTCAAATCTACTTTTTCCCCAAACACTTTTCCTACATCCCTATCAAATTGCTATGTTATGTAGGATTTTACATGTCTGATTTCCATTCAAGTCAATCTGAGCTGCTTGGACAGAATTATAAATATTTGACAATTAATAACCTGTAGGAACAATGAATTCTGGGGAGTGTAGTTTCTGGACAGCATGAAGATTTGGTGTTAGAAACACACTATCAATTTAAAATCTAAATAAAAGGAAAAAGAATCTAAACAATACTACACACAAAATGTTTAGATGGGAGTACTTTAAGTTGACAATGCCTGCTTAAGTTCTGAACTACTGTATAGTAACTGAAAGCAAGTATTATTTTCCACATTTAACTAATTTTGAATTTATTTTTATAATGTAGTCAATCTGAGAATATATGTTTCACTGGGGAAGAATTTTTATGGTAAAAGCCATTTGGCTTCATGATGAAAGAATATAGGAATATTGGAAATGCCAATAAAGTAGTAAAAGGCCTCCAAAAATAATCAATGGATCAGTGAATACTTCTGAAAGTGAAAACATTGCTAATGCATTTTATGCATTTAGTCAGGTTGAATAAATATTATATACTACATAAGCAACCATATCAAATGGAAATGAATACCATGGGTGCAAAAGTACACTACATGCATTGTGGATCTGGTTCTCAAACTTGTGTAAAATATGGTGCTTTACTGATATTACTTATTTCGGATTTACATCAATAGAAGAGGACAATTAGGACCTAATA